AAAATATTATGTTATTTTATACTCTAAATTTTGTATGACATTGACATATAAGCGAACTCCAATGACAGCTGCCAACAGTTCCAGTCTAGGTATTGTCAAATTTCTAAGAGATGCCACCCTAGCTTTAGCACTCAATAAGTTCACTATTACCCTACCGTTGCTAACAACTCTCAAGAAAACAACCGCAGAAAATGCATTCTTACTTGCATCACAAAAAGTGTGCAAGTTTATGTGTTCCACTTCTTCCTATCCAACGCGGGATTTCTATTTGACGCAGATAAGACAAGTCTTCTAACCACTTTCGAAATGTATTTTCAGTTTCAGAATCTACCTGTTCATCCCACGGTAATTGCTTTTTCCAAATTTGTTGCAATAATAACTTCGGTATCAAGGTAGTAGGACAAGTAAATCCAATCACATCAAACACCCGTTGAGCCATTGAAAGAATCGATCTTTTAGTCACTAATATATTGTCAGAATTGATCGAGTCGTACCAGTGCTCTACATTTATCCTCAAAATATCCTTGTCTTTATGCCAAATAAGACCTAATACGGATACAGGATCTTCATCTATGCTTAACTCGTCCGTAAACTCCCACCCTCTTAGATCAAATTTGGCTTCAAGCATGACCAATTTTGCTTCTGAAATAAACTTCTCTCGATTGTTCTTGTCTACGACGCTAGTTACACAATTATCTACATAAAAACTTTTTGATAATTTCTTAACTGTCTCTTCTGAATACACAGTTTCACTTTTTTTACATTTTTCCAAACACTTTGATAGATGATATTCAATTGTGACACCAAGTAAGAATGGACTACAATTAACCCCAAACACCACGCGTTTGTGTCTATATATAATTTCGTTTCCATCTGTATCGAGCCACAAGAATTTCAAATACTCTGTCCTTTTTGTTTACATTTATTTGCAAAAATGCTTTACGAATGTCACTTATAAAGCCAATACGATTCTCTCGAAATCTTATTAGAATGGAAGGTATTTCTTCAATTAAATTCATACCCTTCTCCAAACTATCATTGAGGGATGGTCCATTCTTTTCTCGAGCCGATGCGTCAAACACAGGTCTTATTCTTGTAGTACTGTTCTCTTTAATAACAGGTCTGTGTGGAAGGAAATGTCCTTGTGTTTTATCACTCACCTTGTCCAGTTCTATTATATCTTCTTCTAACCACTGTTGAAAAACAGCATCATAAGCTTCTACTAACTTTTGACCTTTCAACTTCAGAACAGTAGAACTTAACCTCTTCTTAGCGATATTATAATTTGTAGATAGATGGAGGTGGTCTTCTAACCAGGAAAGTCTCACTTCATAACGATTTTCTTCGTTAATTTGCACCGTCTGTAAGAAGAGTTCCTTCGCCGCTCTTGCCATATCGCTTTTAGACTTTATTTTAGCTGTTTCTTTTATTCTTAATGTGTCTAAATCCCACAAATCTTCAATAGAAGCTTCTTTGATTAATATAGATAAAGTGATCATAGCAACCGTTGAATTAGGTTTATCTATAGGGACTTTTCCCATCAACGTCCAACCCACAGTTGTTTCAATTGCCACCAGACCACATTGTAACGCTTCTTTACCTCCTGTATAAAGCTTTCCTGCCGCATCCGCTCCAATTAAAAGTTCGATAGGTCCTGAATTATTTACATCAGCTATTTGAATACCTAAACAACGAACTTCTTCTATCCAGGGACCTTGGGATATAGGACATACTTCATTGCAAATTATGTCTTGGTCAAGAACTTCAAAAGCACATGAGTATTTTCCTTTGCTGATTGTAATTTCAAAACATTGGTGCCTGATTACTTTTTCGGTACCACCAAAAAGACAATGTATGATTTTTTTCTGTAGATTTAGGTGAACATCCCAATTCCATAGCAGTCGACTTTAAAATATAAGAACGTTCTGAACCAGTATCAATTAAAGCACTAATTTTCTTATATCCAAATTTAGAACTTATCGTTACACGTAAAGTTTGTAGGAAGACCAGTGGAGTCGAATAGTTAGCCAGGGAATTGTCTTTAGCACAATTTTCATTAACAGTGCTCTGTGTATTATCAGCGGACGTTTTATTCACTGTTAAATCAGTACCTACACATCAAGGTAGCATGTGATTTTCCACAAATGACGCATTGCAAACGAATACGACATTTCTTTGCCTGGTGTCCTATTTTTAAACATCGGAAACAAGCACTCTTCTTCATCAAAGTTTCTTTCTTGTTTTGAATACACATTTTTTGGGCTTTAAAGCAGGAATCACTTGCATGTGTACCTTCACAAGACACACTTAGCGGCCTCATAATTAATCAAATCTGTAGCAGAAGGTATAAGAGCTGTCTTAATTGGTCTCCTCTTTTTTACTTCACTATCGATAATTCCACTAACAGACGACAAACCAAATCCTTCAGCAGCCAAGGATATACGTTGCTCATTCTGCACTTCGTTCTTCAAAAAGTCCATTAAACTCTGAAATCGAATTTCTAAAGTACTATCGCCTTCATCCTGTGATACACAATCGCGAGAAGTACTCGTATAATGCTTCAAAGAACTAAAGTGAGATCTCTGCCAGGCCCTTAATACATTATTGGATAAACAGGATTCTATAAGCGGAAAAAGCATCGCGCAGCATTTTTCAGAAGTGATACCTAATGTTTCTAAAGCTCTTATTTGTGTCTCTATGCGATCATCCAAAGCAGAAATTGATATTTTATTGGAAGCAATTGCATTATTACGAGCTTTAGTAATTCGCGAACATAAACTTCAATTTGTAAATCTTCCAGACCAAATCTCGACTGCATGCTCTCAACAATCTTCTCGTAATTTTCTCCCATTGCCGGGAAACTTTCCACCAATTGTCTGGCTCTGCTACCCTCAACAGTAGCCTGTACTAGATATTCAATCTTATCATGGTTATAAATGTCTGGATCTTCATGGATTTTCTTGAATTGTGCCGTTTAAATTCTATTTTAGGCAACTTAAACTTACGCATACCTGTACCGACGACTTCATTTATTACTGAACAAGCACTATCATGATGAACCGACCTTGCTTCTAAGAGGGGCTGTCCTTTGGATTTTCCCATGAACTCATCATAACGAGAACGCAGCAGAATGAATTTCCTCTTGTAGTCGTCAGCAGCATCTATTTCTTGCAGTAACCCTTCTTCACTCGTCGTCTCCAGGATCGCTTCATATATTTCAGAATCCACAACTTTTAATTCCTCAAACTTCATTTCTAGTATTTCAAATGAAACATCTATTTGTCGGAAATCAGGACTGTCAGTTTGCAGCATTGAGTCAATTTCCTTCAACACCGGCGTAAACGATGCCCGCATAACGACTTTTCCTTTTCTTTTCTATTTCTGTAGCCATATCTTTACAATCTCTGGTCAAAACCACTAAACGTCAAGTGTCAGATACAAAAGCTCACACGACGTAAAAGTTTGTACAATTCTCCAAAGTACAAGGAATAATCTGCACCGACCTTTCTATAATACGATTTTTCTATATAATCACTTTCAGGTCCTGTCACGGTCGCCAATAATTTCGTGTACATATACAAACTACCCGTCTCCAGCAACACGAGAGTTCAAAATGAGAGTGATGATTAGAAGCACACGTATTTATTATAGATTTCGGTAGTGTTAACAAAATTATATATATTTTTTCAAAAAACTCTGAGAATGTCACGTTCTTTTTCTTTATTTTACAATTGCCTCCTTTTTTATAATTGAAAAATATTTCACATTATGGCGATATTGATTCTCTAACAGATTATTTTTTACAATCAAAATATTTAAAATAATATAGAAATTCTATAAATTTGCAATAGTATGTTCGACTGCAATAGTAAAATATTTCGATAGTTTTATTGACCGATAATCTGCCAAGTGCATCCCCCTGACCTTTGGGGGGTTGGTGGGGGTTGCAGGGTTCGGTGGCCATTGATAGTCTTAAGCCTAGTTATGGTTTAGGTGTCTGTAGGTTCGACTACAGTAGTGAAATATTACGGTAAGCCAATTGACCTGTAATCTGTCAAGTTTATTAGGGGTGGTTTTGGGGGGGTTGGAAGGGGTTGTAGGGCTTCGTGCCCATTGATACTTTTGATCAGCATGACGAGGACTGTCAAAATACGGTTTCATAAAAATTGACCGGTGTTCAATTTCCATATGTTTTGTGAGGGGTTCTTTGGTGCACTCTTTATTTTATGTTCGATCAAAGTAGTTCTGAAATAATTCTAATGGGCCGTCACCGTGAGACATCCTGTATATATATATATATAGAGAGAGAGAGAGAGAGAGAGAGCAGGAAGGGTAGTTTGAGTGACTAGTTAAGAAAAAAACCAGTGATGTATTTGGGATTGCAGTCGACAGTCCTAAGGGTTAGTACAATAAGAACACTGTGTTTTTGTCAAGCTTTCGGAAATGTTTATTTCCTTTCTCAAGACATCTATAAAATATAACAAAAAAAATAGAATAGTAAGTTATAAAAGCTTATTATATACTTACAAACGTGAGATTAAATTAGAAAACCATCAAAAAGAAGAAATACAGAACCATTGTTATAATTAAAATTATTTGTTATGTGTATAAATTTTAACAATGTATTTCTCCTTTTTGATGGTTTTCTAATTTAATCTCACGTTTGTAAGTATATAATAAGCTTTTATAACTTATTATTTTAAGCATTGTTTTTGTTATATTTTATAGATGTCTTGAGAAAGGAAATATACATTTCCGAAAGCTTGACAACAACACAGTGTTCTTATTGTACTTGCTCTGAGCACTGTTCACTGCAATCCCAAATAAATTACTGGTTTATATATATATATATATATAACAAAATTCTNAAAATTGGCTTCATTCATGGGTTTTGAATAGCGATTCGAAATAGAATTGGCAAATATTGGCAATACTGGCTTGTAGTTTTGTTCTTATATTATAAGATCCTATTTTATATTCTAAGGTTTTGAAGAATTTGCTTGGCTTTGTTTTTTGTTTGGTATCTTTTTCTATGGTTTGGTTAGTTTGGTAATACTGACTGCATTTATTTTCTGCCTTTCGCAAGTTTGTCACGAAGGAAAATGGTGAGTTTTGAAGTTTTATTTTGTTATCTTATATTTTCTAAAGAATCTTATACCAAAGAAAAATTTTTGAACTCTATATATTTCGTGGTTATCATAAAAATATGTGCCCTTCAAATATTTAAAAAAAATATGTATGTATTTTTAAATATTGGAACATAACCATACATTTTTATTTTTTTGTAGTCTCTCGTAATACCAGAAAAATTCCAACATATTCTTCGTATTTTGGGTACGAATATCGATGGAAAAAGAAAAGTTATGTTTGCTCTTACAGCTATTAAGGGTGTAGGAAGACGCTATTCCAATATTGTGTTAAAGAAGGCTGATGTGGATTTGGATAAACGTGCTGGGGAATGTTCTGAAGAGGAGGTTGAAAAGATAGTTACTATTATGTCGAATCCTCGACAATATAAAATTCCAGACTGGTTCCTCAATAGACAAAAAGATATAATTGATGGAAAATACAACCAGGTTAGTTCAATGTCTGGATGCGCCATAGGTATGACTATCAAATCTGCAGCATGGACAAATGCTTCCTTCATTTTCTTATTAAATTGGTTTACAAATTTTGAATTGAAATTTAATACTTTATTTTTGAAAGTAATACTAAGTCAGGGTTCCAAAATAAATGGGAAAAACTTAGTAGCTTGTATGAAGATTAATGAACCAATATATAGAACACTAAGGTAGATAAATTTTATTAAAGTAACATCTAAAGCAATTTATTTTCGTTAATTATTTAGTATAGTGACCCTCCCAAATCTTCAAAAAATGTTCGCTAGTGTTGAATACAAATCTGAAGTCATTTTTGTGCGGTCGAACCCAGTTTTTCAGAAAAAAATTTTTTCAAAATTCTAACCTGGATGTTTCACATGACACTACGCAGGACTGTACATTTTATGTAGCTTTAAGAACATTTGTTATGAACAATTAACATTGTTTAAGAAACACATTTTCCCAAATTTGAAATATTTAAGGTCATGACAAAGGGGTCATTTTTTTGGCACTTATGTGCAAACTACATGAGGTCGAAAATCGATCTAGTAAAAATATTGAGAAATTCTTAATGACAATGTGCACTATGGGGTTGCCTATTATTTGGTTTATGTGACGTCACTACTAAAAAGGTCTATTGCATGCAGATTTGTAAGTTGAATTTGCATACTTGTTCTGAGGCACAGTAAAACGGCTATATTGTTTTTATTTATAATGATATTAGCTGGTAGCCTGTGCAAAATAATCTAGCAAACAAAAGAAATTTTAATAAAAGAATTATGTGGATTGGTCACTAATTATGTGAAATCTGAGAAGCATTATTCATGTAATTTTATTCAAAGTTTCATACAGTTTGCGACATTTTAAAGATTATTAATAAATAATTTAAACATTTTTACTGAACTGTTGTCACAGTTTGCAGGTTTTTGAGTCAGATTTACCTCTATTTATCTCATAGCAACTGTCACTTGCCACTAAATCAGAGAATTAGTAACGTAGATAGTAATGAGGATTTATTAATTTTATTAAGTCAAAAAAAAAAAAAGTTCCGAATTTTTAAAGCGTCGGTAGTCACTTATACTATACCGGGTGTCCTGTCCATGTTTCAAAAATTTGTGTGCAAGTTCCTCATGGGAAAATAATAGGGGTAGTTCATGTAAAGTTTTTTTCTTAGATGACCTGTTTTCGAGGTACAGTGCATTGAAGTTGTCACTTTCCAAATGGTTTTCCTTAATTATCTTTAAATCGGCTAAAGATAAAAATGTCAAAATTTGTACACGAGTAAATATCAACTGTTCGTTAAGAATTACGTGCAAACGGTTTCTTTCTGAAAAGCAGTGTCGCTGATACAGGTAATTGAAGGGGTACAATCAAAGGAAAAAATATGTTAAAAGTCAAAATTTATTACATTTCTAAATGGTTCTATAAACTCTAAGGGATACTACAAAAGAAAGGTATACTTGTCGAAATTCGGTAGCATGTACCATTTTCGAGAAGAATGAAGTTGCATTTTTTTTGCTCACATAAAGCGGCACAAGTACATTAACAAAATATTAAATTGAAAGAGGACCTTATCATTGAATGAGCTGAAGACATTTAACTACCAACAGTATTTGCATTTAAGACTATAATTTTTATTTCTTACATATCACATGAAACAGTTAAATTGTAAAACATGTTATTAACTAAAAAAAAAAATATTTATTTTAAGTTTCAGTTTGTTGTAAACTAACATTTAAAAACGTAAATCAGAATAAACAGATTATGGTAATTAATTATCTATTATTAACTAATTTTAGATTTTGTAAACTACTACCACTACCATTACTAAAATAAACAATTGTTGAATGGACTGACTTGTTGATCGACATGAATGCTTTAAAAAAGTGATAAAAACAGGAAAATATTAGGAAACAGACTCCGAGACATACAAAACAAAACAGCTGCACAATTAAATAAATGTGTAAACTCGAAATACTAGTAGATACTGAAATTATCCCGCATTTCTGCAACTTCATTTTTCTCGAAAATGGTACATGCTACCGAATTTTGACAAGTATAGGTACCTTTTTTTTGTAGTATGCTTTAGAGTTTACAGAACCATTTACAAATGTAATAAATTTTGACTTAAAATTTAAACAATGAAAGTAAAGGACAGTCAATTGCGTTATGTAATAACTTATATAAAAATATCAATTGTGCAATCGTTCTACATTCCTCTAAACTGCGAAATGAAAATCTATTTAAAAGATCACATTGAGGGATACCAACAGGTGGATAATTGCCATCCACTCTAAAAACTGCAGCCTTTAAGAAACGTCTCTGAACTCTCAATATTAGTTATGTAAATATTATAATAGGGTGACCACACAGTGCAGGAATACTCTAATTTAGATTTAACAAAAGCTGAATATAACAATTTAAAAGTAGAGGAATCATTAAAATCCTTAGAACAGCATAGTACAAAACCTAGTTGTTAACATTGCACCATAAAACAATTTTGTTTAAAGCAGATTTAGTCCAGACGGTATCTGTTTCAAAAAGCCATATTTAAGTAAATCGTATATCCACGAAGATTTTTGGCTTTTTGGTTTTCAAATATCACTAGAAATGAAAATTTTTCTATGCGCATAAAAAAAAAACGTGGGCTTAACTTTTGGTGGCACAATATGTTAAAAAAATTCGAAAAATGTCATATTTTTCTTTCTATTGGAAAATGGAAGAGGAAAAAAATGTTTGCAATTAAATTTTTTACAAAACATGTCTAGTTACAAACCGAATGAATCATGATTATTATGGTAAAAATCGAAAAAATCGAAAAAATGGGTCACTGGTCTCTGCTTCCCCCACCACCACCACCACCAACGAGTGGTGGTGGTGGTGGTGGGGGAAGCAGAGAGCGCGGCCGTTTCGTCCTGCTCGAAATTGAATCGGCTATAATTCTACAATTATCAGGTACACCTTTAATAACATAATTTTAAGGGAGGCTTAAACACACGACCACTATGCATAATAACGGGTACTCTGCTTTTTAATGTCGCTCCCGCACAATTTTCAGGTTTACTTCTAAAATCTTCAGGTTCAGGCAGTATAACATCTTGTGGATGTATAGGAACGTCGAGTTCTTGTTTTCGTCTACTTGTACCTGGATCCGTGGTTTCCTCTAATGACGAGTCGATGCATTCCAAAGGATAAAGACGTTGAACTGGTGTAAGCAATTGTCCCCTCTTGGTATTCACTTTAACCAGCCTAACTTTATTGTCTTTGCCATGTATAAGTTCCACTATACGACCAAGCGGCCAGTCAACACGTTTAACTACATTGTTGCCAATTAATACGATATCACCGATTCTTACCTCGCGATATAGTTTTCTATTGCAAATAGTTTTCAATTGCCCTAAATACTCCGTACAAAATCTTTTCCTTAGATCGTCGCTCAACTTCTGTTTACATCGCAACTTTCTGCACAAAGATGATCTGTCAATGGTATCATAATCTGGTACACCATACTTTAAATTTTGTATGACATTGACATATAAATGAGCTCCAATGACAGCTGCCAACAGTTCCAAGTCTAGGTATTGTCAAATTTCTAAGAGGTGCTTTAGCACTCAATAAGTTCACTATTACCCTACTGTTGCTAATGACTCTTAAGAAAACAACAGTAGAAAATGCATTCTTACTTGTATTGCAAAAAGTGTGCAAGCTTATATGTTCCACTTTTTCGCAACCGAGACCTAATCCAGCGCGTGATTTCTATTTGACACAGATAGGACAAGTCTTCTAACCACTTTCGAAATGTATTTTCAGTTTCAGAATCTACCTGTCCATCCCACAGTATTTGTTTTTTCCAAATTTGTTGCAATAATAATTTCGGTATCAAGGTAGTAGGACTAGTAAATCCAATCACATAAAACACCCGTTGAGGCATTGAAAGAATCAATCTTTTAGTCACTAATATATTGTCAGAATTGATCGAGTCGTACCAGTGCTCTACATTTATCCTCTAAATATCCTCGTCTTTATGCCAAATAAGACCTAAAACGGATACAGGATCTTCATCTATGCTTAACTCTCCATAAACTCCCACCCTCTTAGATCAAATTTGGCTTCAAGCATGACCAATTTTACTTCTGAAATAAACCTCTCTCGAGTGTTTTTGTCTACGACGCTAGTTGCACAATTATCTAGATAAAAACTTTTTGATAGTTTCTTAACTGTCTCTTCTGAATACACCGTTTCACTTTTTTGACATTTTTCTAAACACTTTGACAGATGATATTCAATTGTGACCCCAAGTAAGAATGGACTACAATTAACCCCAAACACCACGCGTTTGTGTCGATACATAATTTCGTTTCCATCTGTATCAAGCCACAAGAATTTCAAATACTCTCTGCCCTTTTTGTTTACATTTATTTGCAAAAATCCTTTACGAATGTCATTTATAACGCTAATACGATTCTCTCGAAATCTTATTAGAAAGGAAGGTATTTCCTCAATTAAATTCATACCCTTCTCCAAACAGTCATTGAGGGATGGTCCATTCTTTTCTCGAGCCCATGCGTCAAACACAGGTCTTATTCTTGTAGTACTGTTCTCTTTAATAACAGGTCTGTGTGGAAGGAAATGTCCTTGTGTTTTATCACTCACCTTGTCCAGTTCTATTATATCTTCTTCTAACCACTGTTGAAAAACAGCATCATAAGCTTCTACTAACTTTTGACCTTTCAATTTCTGTACAGTAGAACTTAACCTCTTCTTAGCAATATTATAATTTGTAGGTATTATTAAGACCACTTTTCAAAATTCACAATTTATTAGAAAAAAATATTTTACATGTTATATCGACGGGGTCCAAAAAGTTAATAATCTTATTCCCGTTTCGACACACTGTGTACTCAGCCGCGTGTGCCGATACCCTTAAATTTATTACTGTTATGACAGGACAGACCTATCAACATATGACTTTCAAT